TTAAAAAAATTTTTTTAGTTGTATACAGACACAATATCTTTGTTTTATTTATTTATTTTTGTATGTGGTGCTGAGGATTGAACCCAGTGCCTCATGAATGTGAGGCAAGTACTCAACCACTGAGCTACAACCCCAGCCTAGTATGTCTTTTAATAAAGTATACTTTAAATTCCTACCAAAAGATTACATTCATTAGTCAACATGAGAAACCTATAAAATATCAGGTTATGCTGCTAACAGGGTCTTTTTAAAAAAATAATGTTATTGTATTTTTTATATCTTTATTTATTTTTTTAATGTGATGCTGAGGATTGAACCCAGTGCCTCACACATACTAGGCAAGCACTTTACCACTTACAACCACAGCCCCACTAACAGGGTCTTAAGATTTATTTTAAACAACTTCATTGCTTTTTTTGTTTCCTAATTTCTCCATTAAGTTTTCATCCTAGAAGAAAGTTTCCTGAACTATACAAACTGCTATTAATAAACTTTAATCCCAATTATTTCTGAAGTATTCAAATGCCTTTTTACTAGTATATTGTTTTATATTTCTTTAACCAACAGCAATAAACACATTTCCTTGTGTTTGGACAATTAACTTGAAAGCCTGACTGCTAGAACTCTAGACATAATTCCTTTTATTCAATATATAAATACATAATTCCTTTACATATGAGGTCCCTAACAGAGTCAAATGGTCCATTGTGACCTGATGTTAAAATTCTATGTTTGTAGGCTGGGGTTATGGATCAATGGTAGAGTGCTTGCCTAGCATGTGTGAGGCACTGGGTTCAAACCCCAGCACCACATAAAAATAAACAAAATAAAGACATTGTGTCCAGGTGCAACAAAAAAAAATTTTTTTTTAAAATTCTTTGTGACAGGGTGGTGGTGCATGCCTATAATTCCAGCAGCTCAGGAGGCTGAGGCAGGAAGATCCCAAGTTCAAGACCAGCCTCTGTAATTTAACAAGGTCCTAACAACTTAGTAAGATTCTGTCTCAAAATTAAAAATAAAAAAGAACTAGGGATGTGGCTCAGCGGTTAAGCACTTCTGGGTTCAACCCCCAGTATAAAAAAAAAAAAATATTACATTTTTGTAATGTCTTGTGATTCACATAAGGGCCACACTAAGTCTCACCATTCCTTACTGCCAGATTTACAAAACTGCCAAAGGCTCCAAGAGGCCCAAGCTACTCACTATGATTCTACCCCCATTATGTCTGTCTTTTCTAGAAAACACTCCTACATTGCACAACTCTCCTAGTAACAGCCAGTACATTAACTTAACTTTCCTATGTTCTGTTGTCTCTGAACCCTCAACTGTCTGACATCAAGTTTATATGGTAAGTTGCTGGACAGTGGCACATGTCTGTAATTCCCAGTGCCTAGGGAGACTGAGGCAGGAGGATCATAAGTTCAGGATCAGCTACAACAACTTACCAAGGCCCTAAGCACATTGGGGAAACCCCGTCTCAAAATTAAAAAGGGCTGGGATGTAGCTCAGTGGTAAAATGCCCCTGGGTTTAATCCCCAGTGCAAAAAAAAAAAATCAATGTACATTAATTGTTGATGAGCCTTTATTTATGTGGTGCTGAGAATTGAACCCAGCGCCTCATACATGCCAGGCAAACGCTCTACCACTGAGCCACAACCCCAACCCCTGAATTTGTAATTTTAAACAGTGCATTTTCAAAAGAATTCCATTAGACACTAGACACAAAATAAACTGGGCACTTGCAATTCACAAGTTATACCACACCTCAAGCAGCTCGTCTACTTATTTGTGATGTAGTTCCAATTACAGTTTAGTTGAGTTTAAATTAAAAGGTAATGTAGTCATATAGCCATTAGCAAATTTATATCCTGGCTAGAAATATGCCCCAGGGCAAGTGTCATTTAAGTGAAAACTAAAATTGCAATTGTCTAGTTTTAAAATAGGTGTCATATCTGTTAAATACCCTCATCCTCAAAGTAGAGCAAATGATCCTCCAGAGCCAATCCTGTTTAAAATGGTTAGGTAATCTTTTTCTTTTAATGTTTTTTTCATTGTTGATGGGATTTCATTGTTATTTATTCATATGCAGTGCTGAGAAAGAAGCCAGTGCCTCACACATGCTAGGCAAGTGTTCTACCACTGAGCTACATCAACTCCAGCCCTACGTACCTTTTTAAACTACTCATATAAATAACACAAAGGCACACCATATAGGAGGTTCTGTCAGCATATTTGATATACATGACTTAAGGAGTCTTTACTATTTTATGCTTTCAAAGAAACATACCTACAGAATTAGATACTGCTTTTTTCAAATTCTGGCAAATCACTTTATTTTTTATTTTTAGTGTTTTCTTAGTTGTCAATGGACTTTATTATTTTATTTATTTATATACTGTGCTGAGATAGAACCCAGTGCTTCACACATGCTAGGCAAGTGTTCTACCTCTGAGCCACAATCCAGCCCAAATCACTTTATTTTTTACCACATTAATCCAAAGCAGTCTCCTACGACTAAGATAATTCAATACGATTTTATTCATCCAGCAATTAATTCTGTATTTTTTAGTCTTGAGTCTAGTACATCTTTTTTTAAAATAACAGGTCCAAGTTTCTTTTTTTCCTTCTTGGTACTGGGGATTGAATCAAGAGGCGTTTTACTACTGAGCCACACTCCAGTCCTTTTTATTTTTATTTTTTAATTTTTTAGAGACAATCTTGCAAAATTATTTAGGGCCTCGTTAAATTGCTGAAACTGGCCCTAAACTTACGTATGATCCTCCTGCCTAGCCTCCCACATCACTGGGAATACAGGTGTGCACCATCATGACCAGCTAGGTCCAAGTTTCTTTAACAAGAATTAGAACGATTATATGTCAGTGATCTCATGAAGAAGTCACTTGACCAAAATCACAAACTTGGAATCAGCTAGATTAAATGGGAAAAAATAAAACTTCACCAATTATTAATTATTTCTTTTTTTAGATTTGGGAATTGAATCCAGCGATGCTCTATCATTGAGCCACATCCCCACCCTGTTTTTATTTTTTATTTTGAGACTGCTTAGGGCTTTGCTAAGTTGCTAAGGCTGGTCTCCAACCTGTGATCCTCATGCCTCAGACTTCCAAATTGCTGGGATTACAGATATACTCCATCCCACCCAGCCTTAATTTCTTAAAATAATATTACTAGCTGAAATAAAATGCCCAAGAGACATTGAGTAGAATGAAATATTGTAAAATATACCAATTCTACTTAGAATTTGTACATAACTACAAGTCCAAAAGGTTAAGGACTATACCACTTAACTTTTACATCCTTTCAATCCATGCTGGAAAAAAAGTATTGAAAGAGCACATAAGTATGCATGCCTATGATTCTAGCCACTTGGGAAGCTAAGGCAGGAGAATCACAAGTTCAAGAGCAGCCTGGACAATTTAGGGTGACTGTCTCAAAATAAAATTTTTAAAAGGGCTGGGGAGTGTAGGTCAGAGGCAGAACACTTGCCTAGCATGCAAGAGGCCAAGTCTGATTCTGGGTACAAAAAAAAAAAAAAGGCATAAGTACTGAATGAATGTAGTACTCAACAGTTTAGAAAAATTCTTGAAGGCATAGCCTGCAATGCTCACTAAGTTACCTATAAAACAAATTTTATCAAAAATTTACCCCAAAAGATCATTAAAATACAAAAAAAGCCAACACTAGACTCCTTATTTTAGATCCTGTTAAGTCACACATTTGGCTCCATTTTTTAAACAAAACGATTTGACAAATATCCAACAAGCCCACTTCTCCACTTCCATCCTCTTTTCAATTGGTCCTAGAAAAGTTAAGAGGTTCCACTCACTCGTAAAAGACTTGACTTTCTTTATGACCTTGGGCAAAAGCTACCAAAAGAAGGCTGTAATGATGTTTGCATATTCCTACTAATTACTGACCTTCAATCCTAATACCATGCTAACTGTAGTGAAGTTCTGTAAGTGGAACCTCCAGAACTGAAAGCTTTTTGAGTTGTAAATCAACTAACATAAAATATGAACTATTTTTAATCTTAGTTTGATTCGTGGTAAAAAAAAAATTAAAAAGAAAGAATGGGTATAAAACTAGCATTAATTTGCCATTTTCCTGCTTTTGTTAAAAAAAAGCAGCTGGACTTACAAATAAAAATGTAAAACTTGGCAAGGAATGGTGAGTTGGAATATTAAGCAATCTACAATCTGAAAATTATGCAGATAAATCTATCATTTCAAGTCACTAATTTGTATATCCACGTAGAGCAATCATCTTAGAATTGCTTTACTAGCATTATAAAGATAAATCCCTGCCTTGGAGGAACATCTACTAAGAACATTTCATTTCAGGATCTTAGGGAAGTTTACGAGCAGTATCTCTTTAGGCTTCCCTAAGGTACTCTAAAGTGCTTAACATCATTCACACATCCAGCTACCAGTAGGGTGAGAAGTAAATAAACACGATTTACCTATGCAATTATTTACCACAGAATTCTGTTCAAGATGCAACAGTAAACATTCACAAAGGTATTTGATACCCAAAAAAACCAGAGAATATTAACTATAAGATTCGCCCGTAACTGACCACTATGGAAACCAGTGACCTCCCACAACAGCACTTCTTCATTACCACTCTTGATTTGAAAAAGAATGTCAACATTTTAACAGTACACAAGATAAACAGAACTTAGTGAAATCCCTTCTTCCAGATTCTCAAAAGATGTTTATAAGAAGTGAGGTAGAGCAACGCCCCCCTAAAAGGACCCTACTAAAACAGAATTAAATACCGAAAACACAGGGTGGGTCAGGAAGGTTAGAAATGGTGATTTTCTAACTTAATTACCCAGAAGAACCACAGGGTTGGAGGCTAAGAACGTGAGATCGGGGTGGGGGTGGGTAGCGAAGTGAAATCTAACCCCAGAAATCACAACACAGGCCGCAGCCTAAGAGCTGAAGCTGGCGGGAAGTGAGCTTCTTTTCCGTTCCCAGGGGAAAGTCCACGGAAAAGCGGCTCCACACAGCGGACCTACGAAGAGCCAATAGTGCATGCATACCAACGCGCTGGACCCACTGAAGGACCGGGTTGAGAAGGGGAGGAGATCCCGGCAGACGGCCCTGGAAGAGGAGGACTAGGTTGGGAGCAGCGGCAACGTCTGGACGAAAGGGATTACCTAACTGTGACGACAGAGAAGTGTCCTCAGGCTCCGGCGATGGTCCCGAATGCGCAGTGTGGGGTGTCTTTCGCGCTTAGCCCACAGCAGGAACAGAACCAGCTCCTTCAGCCAGTCGCCATTTCCCGCCTACCGACCTGCTGCACCGCACGGACAGGGACCCGGATGAAAAGCGGCCTCCCCGCGCAGGCGCTATGACTTTCTCCTCCCCCTCCCTCCACAATTCCTCGAGGCGGGAGGGAAGGAATGCAGGCGGCCACAGCTGAGGGGGTTGGAGGGTTCGACTTTTACTTCCGTGAAGAGGTTAAGTTCCTGACGCCCGAAGAAACTCGTGAGTCTAGATTCTTAACAAAAAATGAATACAATACCTTAGGCCCGAATGGTATAAGAAAGGATAAAACCTATCAGTATACGCAGGGCAAGGGGGAATGTTTGTACTTTAGGGGCCTCCGTAGCCGGCTGTGTAGTGGTCGCAGGGGGAGTAGGGAGTAAAGCGTTAGGAGCGGAGAGGCGGGGACGCGGAGGACGGTTTTTCCTCCGGCTGCTAACGGAACTGCTTACGGCTGAGCTGGGAGGGGGAGCGCGCCCTCGCCCAGAAGGCGGGGCTTAGGAATGCGTCGCGCACCCTGGCGGCTAGGGTTTAGTAGTGGTGGGCGCGCCAGATGGGTGGAGCTGAGTTGGACCCGGCGGAACTAACGGCTTGGCGCGCTGGAGCAGGTAGTTTGTGCTGAGTTCTCCGCGAGGGCAAGAAAAAGCTAGTCTTATTTCTTTCCTGTGATTTTGGTGCCTCCTGATGGTCCTCTTTCCTGCTCACTGCCTAGAAGGCATAACAGTCGCTCCTGGATCAGTCATTAAATTCCTGTCCTTTGATTCCATACATTGTCGGCGGTAGTTCTACAGACTGAGAACTCAATCTTTCAGACAAATGGGTTCCCAATTGGAATCCTGGGTAACTCCAAAAAAGTGAAAAAGTATCAACCGGAGTATTCAATCAGTGGAATATCAGAAAACCAAGCCTATTAGCTGAAGAGCATTATCTTCGGTCTAAAATGCCAAGCTACTCTCATTATTCCGTCAAGAAATTATTTGTTGAAAAAAATACTAGGTACGAGGGATAAAACAATGAAAAAGGCAAACATGGACACTGCCTTTCCAGAATTAACAGTCTATTGAAGAAGACAAACTATTTTAAAACAGTGTAATAAGGAGACTACAAGGACTTCAGTGCCAGGCTTGTAGGGGCACGTGAGGGTGTCCACAAGGGGGTCTGTAAAGCCTTTTGTAAGGTTACATCTAAGTAATACGTAAAGGAAAAGTTAGTGCTCCAAGGAAACAACTGACGGAAAAGTCCAGAGATTGTGTAGAGCAATTGGGGAAGTAATTGTGCTCAGGGAAAGAGGATTTGGGCCGTGGGGAAGGTAGTAACCACAGAGGAGACTGAGAGGTAAGGCTAGATAACATACCCTAGTGAATATGATTGCTTCTGTTTCAAAATGTGAAGAAAGGTGGTTGTCTTTTGAAAACCTTATATATTACAGAATCCATTTGCACCCTAAATAGTTCCAGTACAAAAATGTTTTGAATGTAACTTGATTGAGAGCCAATGATATACAGTTCATAGAACTAGTAAAAATCCACAAGTTAATTCCTGAAATCAAATAATTACTGGTCATCCATTGTGTATGGTGGAAGGCAATAGTATGGAAACTAAACAATTACCCCCATTGATTACTGAAGTTATTTTTAAATGAAGTGAAAATTAAAAATTGGGGGGAGGGGATCCTCCAAGAAGAAATTATTCAAACCTTCATATTCCTAACATATGCCATTAACAAAACACTTTTATATGCATTTTATTCTCCCCTACAACCATGTGAGATAGTCAGAATAGGTGCTATTTGTCTCCCACACTTTCAGTTGAAGACACTGAAATGAAAGAGAAATAGAGGGGGGAGAGAGAAGCATACCCACTAGTAAGACGACTGGGGCTCAGATCCCACTCTGCTCTTTACACAACCTCTGACAATGTTGTTACCATTGTTAGTTTTGTTAAGGTGGTTGGTTTGTTTATTCTCATTCTTGGCCCTCTACCATTTTTTATTTCGAGATAGGGTCTTGCTAAGATGCCTAGGCTGACTTTGAATTTATAATCCTCCTTCCTTAACCCCACAAGTCTGTAATTACAGGCTTGCCTCATGATACCCAGCTTGTTTAACACTTTGGAATATTTGTTTTTCATCTTAGCTATCATTTACTTCAGTGGTCTCTACTAGACTCTTTCCTCCAAAATCTAAGTATATTGTTGTGAAATTCAAATGAGACTATAAAAAACTCTTAGCAGGGTTCTTTCCTTGCTCCTTAAATGGTGGTTGTTGATATCATTAAGTTTTTTTTAAATATTTATTATATATATATATTTTTTTTTTTTTTAGTTTTCGGCAGACACAACATCTTTGTATGTGGTGCTGAGGATCGAACCTGGGCCGCATGCATGCCAGGCAAGCGTGCTACCACTTGAGCCACATCCCCAGCCCCAATATCATTAAGTTTTAATACTAACCCTGTCCAAGATTTTAAATTAATAATTTAAAGAATTCTAGTTTTTTTAAAGTATGAAGTTTATTTATATTCAAAGCAGTGGCAACAGGAAAAAAATGAAAAACTAGTAGCATGCAGCTTTTTGAACTATTCAAAACTATTACTGTATGAAAACACTAATGAAATAGGTTATTCATAAAGTAATGCACTACAAATATCTCAGATCTTGAACAGTTTTTCAGTAGGTCCTTTATTCCAGGGTCCAGCTTGAGCATCCCTAATCCAAAATAAGATATGCTTCAAAATCCAAAATTTTTTGAGTACCACATGACACCAAAAGTGGAAAATTCCATACCAGATCTCATACAATGGGTCACAGTCAAAATTCAGGCACACAAATTGCAGGTAGGCATGCTAAAAAATATTGTATAAAATTGCTTACAAAATATGTGTATAAGATGTATATGAAGGCCAAGTGCAGTGGCACACTCCTTTAATACCAGCAACTCCAGAGGCTGAAGCAAGAGGATCACAGTTCAAGACCAACCTTGACAACTTAGTGAGACCTGTCTCGAAAGGGATGGGGACGTAGTGCAGTGGTGTAGAGTACCCTAGGTTAAATTTCCAATACTACATACACCACAACAAAGAAAAAGAATATACATATATATATGGTATATAAATGGGATACATAAATTTCATGTTTACTGAGATTTGATCTCCAGTTAGAATGGCAGCGATCAAGAATACAAATAATTATAAATACTGGAGAAGTTGTGGAGAAAAAGGAATACTTTTATACTGTTGCTGGGATTATAAAGTAGTACAACCACTATAGAAGTCAGTACGGAGATGCCTCAAAAGACTAGAAATGGAACCAGTATATCACCCAACTATATCACTCATCAGTATTTATCCTAAAGATTTAAAGGTCAGCATACTATAGTGATACAAACATACTCATATTTATAGCAGCACAATTCACAATCACAGACTCTGGAACCAACCTACGTGTCAATGGATGAATGGATTTAAAAAAAAAGTGCTATATATACACAGTGGAGGTTTTTTCAGTAATAAAGATGAATGAAGTTATGTCATTTGCAGGAAAATGGATGAAACTTGAGAACATTGTGTTAAGTGAAATAAGCCAAACTCAGGAAGTCAAAGGTCGTATGTTTTCTCTCACATGTAGAAGCTAGAGAGGAAAAAGGAAAAGAAAGGTGGGTCAGGGGAGAGCAAGAGAGTAGAGGAAAGGGATCAGGAGAATGGAGGCAGGGAGGAAAATGAGGGAATGATATTGGTGAAATTGTTATATCATGTGCATGTACAAGTATGTAACAAATCCCACCGTTGTGTATAATTATGCACCAATAAAAAATGTGGAAAATGGGCTGGAGTTGTGGCTTAGTGGTAGAGTGCTCCCCTAGCATGCTTGAGGCACCGAGTTCGATCCTCAGCACCACATAAATGTAAAATAAAGATATTTCATCCACTTAAAACTAAAACATATTTTTTAAAAATATGGAACACAAAGTTTGTTTTTAGACTGGGATCCCATCTCCAAGATACCTCTCAACTATACATATGCAAGTATTCCAAACCCCCCCCCCAAAAAAAAATGAAATCCAACACACTTTTGGTCCAAAGTATTTCACCTATGAATGTGCAATGATCAACTTTCATCGTCAACTTGATTGGATTAAGAGTTGCCAAGGGGGCTGGGGATGTGGCTCAAGCGGTAGCGCACTCGCCTGGCATGCGTGCAGCCCGGGTTCGATCCTCAGCACCACATACAAAAAAGATGTTGTGTCCGCTGAGAAATAAATAAATAAATTCATTCTCTCTCTCTCTCTCTCTCT